CTTGCCCCCTGAAAACAGACATGTGAAATAACGTATTTAGGCAAATTTTAAACTTCGAATAAAAAGTATATTTAGATTTAACTAGTTATAGTTTTCATTTTGAAATGTTATTAAAAGAACCAAACATATTTTCCCCTTATTTAAATCTAAAATTTTATAATAGCATATTTAATCCTATTGTAAGTAGTAATATATTGCTAATTGTAAAACCATTTTCTTTTTTTAAAATCAAACAAAGCTGGCACAAAATTTAAATAATTTGAGAATCACAAAGTACTTTGGGCTTAAAATTCAACATTAGTCGGTATTTTGTAGATGTTACCATCTCCCCAACTTTCCTGTAGGCATTTTATCTCAAAAAATTTTATGTTCCAACATATCTTGATGGGTTTCACTGTGGCTTCAAATATAGGTAAATTAATAGTCTATTTTTTTGAAAAAAATTTCATAATCTACCTATTCCAGTGTTTAATTTTTATTTTCTAAGATGTTCTTTAGTCTGATCTAGTTTCCTTTCTGCTCCGTTTTCTCCTGTTCAGTAAAGAAAAATGAGTTAATACCTAGCAGATAATATTCCAGTCACTCATAGGCTTATGAAAATATGCCTCATGTCCAGTATCTTTACCTCCTTAATGTATTCGTAAAATATTCTCATTATAAGTAGTATCCCAAATGGATCAAATAACTGAGTACTAGTTACCTTGTTGATGGATCCAAACAATGATCCTTGCACAGACTTGTTGCAAGAAATGCCTAAATTTACTTAATGAAGTTTTCATTATCTTAAGCTTTTTCTCTGGGAAGTAAAATGCCACCAGGTATCCTTATTTACTGATCTCAGCCATCTTCTTCTCTACCTGTTCCATTGTTGTCAATACCAAATCAGTTTCCTAAAACAAGCTGGATTTTCTGTGACTCTGATGACAATACACTGTGCTGCTCTACTTGCCCTTAGACTGTAAACTACAAAGGATGTGTTGTCAAAGTCTTGTACTTTGTGCTAAGATCCTTTGTGCTAAGATCCTTTGAAATGAGTCTTTTTCTCTTTGTGCTTATGTCACAAATTTGGTACAGTTAGGTTTGTTCATTTCAAATTGTTTTTGATATTTGAAGATAACTTTTTATGTTTTTTGACATAAATCATTTGTATAATTCCAAGTCAACTTTGTAACAAAGTATATTCATAGAATTCGCACTTTTTATAAAAACCTCTGCCATACCTTATACTCCAGAGGTTACTGTTTTTTAATTTGATTTATGCTGCCAGTGTTTCTTTCCTTTTTCTTGGCAAATGTAATTAAATATATATGTATGCATATCTTTTTGTTTATCCTTACCTATATATATATGTGTGTGTGTATATGCATATATTATATATACACATATGTTTTATATATGTATGTTTAATATTTTTCTCTGTATATGTGTGTATATATGTGTGTATATTCGTATTTCTACACCTTGACCTTTTTCACTTTGTAATACAGCCTTAAAATCCTTAAAATCACCAATGTTAGTATATGGTCCTCTTTATTATTCCTTTACAGAGCTGTATAATATTCCATTGTGATGATATACTACAGTTTATTCAACTAGCTTTTATCAATGGGCATTAAGGTAGTTTCCAATATTTTACTATTATAGGTAATATTGCAATAAATGCTGTAAATACTGTAGCTTTGCTTATTTTAAGTCCACAAACTCTAGGATAATTTTCTCTGAGTAAATTCACTGATTTTTTTTAAAGCAATAAGAGTAATCACTGATTCCCTTCATTAATATTTGAGATTGTTATATTTACATATAGATTTTTAGGTACCTTTCACTTTTCATCTTTCCTACATATTACAAATCTCTTGCAGTCATGAATAGAATCTGGTTTTTTATATATATGTATACCACAAATAACTGAGTATGGTAAAGTATGACTTGTGAATTCTGATCATTCTTATCTACAAGCTTTCTTGTACTATTCATGTTTATGAATCAATATGTGTTGACCTAGAGGTTCTTTTGCTTGTTAATTTAGAGGTTATTTCTGAAATGCCTACTGTATGTGGGTCTGTGCAGGATATAAAGATTGACAGAGCCTCGGCATGGAACTTATGCTGTATCTGTGATTAACCTTGACTTGAGGTAAGCCAACTTGACTTTTTGGATCTCAGTGATTTTATCTGAAAAATGGGAATGATAAGCCTATTTTGATTATCTCATGAGATTCCTGAAAGAACCCACTGCAGTGGTGAATATAAAATAGCTTGCTAAAACACAAAGAGCCATAAAATACATAGAAAAGTTATTGCTATTTTAGTACTACATATTCTCAAATGTTTTGCAGTTATCTTCCCCAGCGGACTTAGCTGTTTGAGAGACATCAGTACAGTTATTGTTTGTTTTATATTTCCTCAGAGCAGCTGGTAAAGAGGGACTAGACACTGAATTTATGGAACATTTTATTTTACTGAGTCACTGTGTTTTGTACCAAGAATCTCAAACTCTAATTCCTACAGGGGCTCCAGGAAGGACTTAAATTGGATCATAGTAGGGAGTGATGAAAAATTATGGCCAAACTGGAGAGTGATTTCTAGATCTCAAGACATTCAAATTCAAGTTTAAAAACAGTACTGCATGAAGTAAACAGTTGAAGGCCACCTGCAGCAGTCTTTATGCCCATTTGTGAGGTGTGGTTTATAAGAATGTTACATTTGGGAGAGAAACCTTATTTCTTTGCTTCATTCATATCCTGATGACTTTAAAGATGTGGGATATTGACAGACACAACTGAATCATTATAATAATTATCAGTAATCCTGAAAATAATAATAAAAATGTTTGTGATGTGTGACTGTGTGACTGTGGTTGTAAGATGTAAGACGCAGCCTTATAGAGTGATGCTTATTGTAGATGTGTTTTCTGTTACTTTCTGTACTGTGTTATATATTCTCTATTTATGAGAACCAGTGGGTCAAGTATCACTGTACTTCTTCTCATGACATATTTTGCTTTTAACTTGCAGATATTATGTATCATATCATTGATTATATTTCTTTTTTTGTGTGGTTCCTGGAATGTTCAGAGCCAAATTTGTCACTGACATCTAGAAAAGCATACCAGATCTTTTGTCACAGGTCCTGGATTCTGATTCCACTTTTCGCTGTCTTTTGACTCCTTCTTTTCCCTTTCTTCTGACTTACTGTTCCTTATTCTGTTTTGCTTTATATATTATAAGCTACTTCATGGCTTTTTGGACACAGGTGAGGTATAGATGACAGAAGTCTCAAACTACGTACATTTGAAGATAAGAGACTAATGGCTTCCATGCTATTATTTACAAAGAAATAGTGCATACAGCTGGTAGAATATTACTTTTTATAAGCAGACTCTTAACAATGAAAAATGTGTGTTTTTTCATGCTTTCCTATCCACTTAGCTTTTCTCAATTTTCTCTACAACAGTTTTGAAAGAGAAAATAGTTCCTCTGTTGCAGGATTGGGGTGGTCCTTATTGCTATTCCTCAGCTATTTCTGGCTCTTTGCTTTCAGAAACATGTTATGATTGTATGACCTGGTCTCTCTTTGGTGGGCCCATATGTTTAGCAATAGCCAGTGAGTTGCCAGTAGAAGTGACTGGAGCATGCCACTTCCGGACCAGAGCATTGAATTGTCCTTGTGAGACTCTTCGGCACACCCTTTCCCTTGAGCGTGTTGACCTGCAACGTTTGAGATGACGGCTGCTCTATCTGCCAGGATCCCTGAGTGCTGAGCCCTAGAGAGTTTGGAGTACTTTGCTACCAAAACACAATCTAGACTATCCTGAGAGATTAAAAGACAATCCATAACAAAGCACAAATTAGGACCAGGGGCAGGGATTGCTTGTCAGTTATGCTTACTCCTTTCTGGGTAATGAAGATATAAGCAAGGCTCCAAGAGTTGATAAAATATGAACAGATTTCAGAGTTTGCCATGGACTTCGAAGGAAAAGAATAAAATAATTCAGAATGAGAAATATTATTTTTCAGAAAGAAAAATCTCTATTTTCACCTGAACATTTCCACTGCTCAGCTTTGCTTACGTTAAAATCGGAAACAAAAACCACTCCCTGTGACAACCTGAGTATCTGGATAATATGTTTATACACTTTTCATCAACCCTATGTTTGTGATGCTTCCTACAGCTGGAAGTGAATGAGAGTCTAGAGGGAAATAATGAATGGATTTAGCCCTCATTTGCCTTGACTCTACAGGCAGCTTTTACATTTTCAGAGACTCAAAGGTGTTATTTGAAGAAATTACTCAGGAATAAAGATATCCCACCAGGCAAAAGAGGATTTCATGTGTTTGAGACACCTCTTCCTTCAATTTCCAGTTTGCAGGTGGAACTGGGGGTGGCAAAGGGAGTTTAAATGTCTAGGTGATATCTGTTACTAAGAGCAGCAAGCACCCCTTCCAAGCTCAGCAGTGAGTGAACTTTTAAAGGAGACAGATTGCCCAAGTGTCTTTTTGTTGTTGTTAGTGAAATATTTTGGAGAAAAGCATTGAAGAGGGGGTGTATCGTCCTCTGAAGGTACAGGCCTGGATGCTGTTTTCAGAAAGGCAAACATTGGAAACATGATTCTTTTTTGCTCTTGATTTTAGGGAAAAAATGCTCATATCTAGTACAAATGATGGCATGACCAAGTAAATTGAGATCAGAGTTAGAGACAGGTGTGTGGTTGGAGACACAGGCGAGCTAGGTCTCTGGAACTGAAACATGCTCATACTCCATTAGGAACCTGTAGAAACCTTGACTTTTTGTTTTCAATTTTACTGAGAAATAATTGGCATACATCACTGTATAAGTTTAAGGTGTACAGCATGATGGTTTGATTTACAGATATTGTGAAATGATTGCCACAGTAGGTTTAGTTAACATCCATCATCTCATACAGACACAGTAAAAAGAAAAGAAGAGAAAAGGTCTCCTTGTGATGAGAACTCTTAGGATCTACTCTCATCGCAACTTAAAAATATGCCAGGCTCCAGGAATTTGTGTCTCCTCTTTGCGCAGGGGCCGTGCTAATCTTTCCTGTATTGTTCCAGCTTTAGTATATGTGCTGCCAAAGCAAGCACTGCCCTAAATTCTTGACAGGACCTTCGTTGTGGATTAAGAGGGAAATGTAATGTAGGATAATTTTTTTTCTAGCCTTAGAAGCTACATCCTCCTATATATTGAGACGTTTTCATTCCTAATGTTGCAGTTGATCTCTGTATTCCTACTTGCAGCTTTAAGACATTTCACATTGCGAGCAAAATCCAAAACTTTAGTTATTTGCAAAAAAAAAATTACTACTTATTTTCCACTTTTTCACCATAAGCAATGTATTAATTTAATCCCATCTGTATACATTAAGCACACATACTATTCAGTATTTTTATGAAGTATGAATTTCACTAAATAAGGACATACCAGAGTTCTTACTGTAGTGCTGTTTATTGTAGCAAAACACTAGAAACCATGTATATTTATAGAAGTAAGAATTGGTTTAATAGTTTTCTGTCTAGCTATAGAAAGCAACATTATGTGCTCAGTAAAGTTACATGTCAGAAGGAATCTATATTTCTCTGAAGAAAATATGTTTAAAATACATTAAGCTGAAAATCAGATTAAAAACAATATAATTCAATTTTTTATGAATAATTAGTATATACATCTGTATGTGTATGTATATACATATAGAAAAAGAACTCTGTTACATTTTAATACTTTCTTTCCCCCGATGATCATGCATTATATTTAATTCAAAGTGAAAGTTAAGGTTAAAAAGCTAAATTTAGTTTAGTTTTCTGTTTTTGTTTTTTTTTTAGCCTAGACCTCCTCTTTGAGCACCAGATTAATTTACATGTTTTTAATATCGTCATGTGTATGCCTTACAGGTATCTCAAAGTTAACATGGCTCATGCCACGTACAGTAAATCTGCCCCCTTCAAGTGCCTCCAACTTAGTAAACAATAACTCCACTCCTTCCACATAAGTCAACTAAAGCTCAGTTTTGCACCTTGAACACCCACAGCCCACCTCCACCCCTCATCCACTTTATAACCAAGTTCTGTTTCCAGCACAGATGCCCAGACAGACTGTGAATAGGTCTGAGTGTCTCCATCTGAAATGTTATCGCAGATCAGTTCCCGGCTCCCACCATCTCTTGCCTGGCCCACTGCGACATCTTTGTACCCTCACGACCTTCTCTCCCTTTACTAGTCAGGGATAGCCTTTGAAGACAGCAGTCATTTCTTAGTGCCAGGATAAGCTCAGTATCTCATCATGATTTACAGAGGCCTGTCCCTGCTTTACCCCAGCCTCATCTGGTACCTTGTTCTCTTTTGTTCACAGTTCTCTGGCCACGCTAATTTCCTCTCTCCCCTCGGAGCACTTCTCACCAGCAATTTCTCACCTTAGGTCCTTTGTAGAAGCTTTGCTCTATTCTTAGAAAGCTTTTATTTACTTTTCATGTTTACTTCAGATCCCCTTTTCAGGTGTTAGTTTAAAACTACTCTTCTTCTTTTTAAATCACAATATCAGTACTTGAATTGTTATGTTTATTGTCTGTTACTCCCACTAGAATGAATGATTCTTGAGGGCAAGGACTTAATTGGTGTCCGCTGCTCTATCCCTAATGCTTTGCACAATTTCCTGGCACATAGTAGAAGCTCAATACCTAAGTATCTTTTGAACAGATCACTACATGAATAGATGTATAATTTCATTATTAAATTACTCAAAAATTGGCTATTCTTAGGCTATGATATAGTTGACTTTTTCTAATTTCTTTTTCTGTATTTGGTTAAATAAGTAGTTAGAAATAAAGTAATATTTTCTTTACCTTTTTATTCTACAGAAAAGTGATAAAGTAATTTTATATTCAGATTGACAGCAAAAATTAATAGGGATTTTAATAAAAGTACAATGTTAGCAGCTCACAACCTTTGAATTATGAAGCATGCTGGGCTACGTGATATTTCATTGTGATCCATAGAAATTTAGAGATATTAAACTACCTGCAGGCATACTCCCTATTATTCTCTGAATGTAATAGGGATGTATTGAGACAAGTTAAAATTGAATGTGCTACAGAACTCAGACAAAACCTATTCTCTAGTTCAGGAGAATTGGAATTAAATTTTGATCATGGTATATCCATTAGATGTGAGCAAAATTATATTAGTTATTTAAAAGGTGGGGTTATGTATAATAGGATAAATAACATTTGAATTATGTAAATGAATGTTGAGGTTATAATGATCCATTTGATAATAGAAAATACTAAGAACTTTAAGTAAAATTCAACTGCCAACAAATTTAAAGTTCATTCTTTCAAATTTGCAAGTTCTGATGGCACATAATTTAAGTCTGTATTTCACTGGATATCACACCATACAGTTTTAACATTCCTTATATGTTTATTAGTAGACTTTTAAAATATGTGTAAATACATATTACAGACATTATATATGACTTTTAGTTATCAATGCTAAGTAAATTATTACATATAATAATATGTTTTTTAAACTCCATTCACCTTGTTGAGAACCTATTTGCACATCAAAGCAACATGGTATTTGGAGTTAAAAAGTTATGGTTTTGTTATATACATAACTTTAGATCATGACATTTTCTTACAGCATCATTTCAAATCCATTTCCCTACATAATTTAATTTTTCATCCTATGTTTGTTTCATTATTTATATCAAGATTTCTCTTTACAAAGACATTGAGGGTGAGCCCCACCCTTTTTCTTAAAAGTTATTCTTCACTGAATATCCTTGAGACTTCCTGATCAGTTATCTAGAGCAGTTGTTTCCTAAACTGTAGCATGTGTTACAATCACCTGTTAGGCAATGTGATTATGCAAGCAGAGGTTGGAATGATGTAGCAACAAATCAAGGACTGCCGGCAGCCACCAGCAACTGGAATGGATTCTCCCTTAGTGGTGCTGGAGGAGGCAAACACAGCCCTATGACACCTTGATTTCAGCCCAGTGATAATGATGTAGGGCTTCTGTGCTCTGGAAATATGAGAACATAAATTTCTGTTGTTTTTAAGCCACAAAGTTTGTGGTCATTTGTTAACAGTAGCTATACAAAACAAGTATACTTTCCAATCCAGAAATTTCGCTTGCTAATATCCTAAAATATTTCAGTCATGTTTCAAGAATATTAAGTACAATTTTCAGAAAGTGATTCTTTTTTTTCAAGTTGATATTTTGGGTTTAAAACAAGAAGTATACAGAAAAATGACAAAATCTTTTTCAGTTACCTCTTAAAGCTTAAAAGGCACAGTCATTTCAAAGTGAATTGTTTTGAGACTAATGGAATTCACTGTAAAAATACTTCTAAAAGGAGGATAGTATGACTCTTTTAGTCACCTCCAAATGACTTCCTAACCATCATAATTTTTGTGAGACAATTTAATCTTAATTAGGATATTCCTATGGTCAAGATTATAGAATGCTCTGAAAAAAATGAAGAGGTTTATAACATAGACAAATCAGCTGTAATGATCTTTTGATAATTCACAGCACATTAAAAGAAGAAATGATCAAAGACAAATAAAATTGATAATTACAGACTTACACAAGCATGTGACCAAGTTAGAGAAAGCAATATATGATAACTTTAAAAATATTATCTTTCTGTAAAATAATATTCTAGAGGATATATATTTGGCCTTGACTTTGCATGCATCTTAGACTCAATTTATTTGTTTCATTTTTTTGGTAAAACTTTTTACCTAAAATAATCATATATTCACAGGAATACATAAAGAAGTTTACTGGTGCAAAACCAGTGCACCCTTCACCCAGCCTCCGCCAGTGTTAATATCTTGTATAACTGCAGTGTAATATCAAACCCAGGAAATTAACATTTGTTCAATCCTTTGAGATTAGATGGATTTTGCCAGTTATACATGCAGTCACATGGGTGTATGTGTGTGTATCTATGTGTGTAGAGTCTAGGTAGTTTTATCATGGTAACTTTGCGTAATCACAATCGTGGTACTTAACTGAACTATCACTGCAAGGTTCCCTCATGCTGCCCTTTAGTAGCTTAACTCATCCTCTCCTCCCTTTTCCTTGATCCATGTTAACTATTAATACGTTCTCTGTGTCTACACTTGTGTTATTTCATGAGTGTTATACGAATAAAATCATGCAGCATGCATCTTTATGACATAGGCTTCTTTTACTACATGTAATTTTCTCGAGATACATCCAAGTTGTTGGGTTTGTCAATAGTCTGTTCCTTTTTATTGCTGATTGGTATCCATGGTATGGATATATCACAGTTTGTTTAGCCATTAGTCATTGAAGGACATTTGGGTAGTTTCCAGTTTTCAGCTATTAAAGCTGCTATGAACATTTGTGTGCAAGTTTTTGCATGAAAATAAGTTTTCATTTCGCTGGGACATATGCTCAAGAGTGTAATTGTTGGGTGATATGGTAAGTTCCATTGCTGATTTCAAAAGGAGCTACAAAACTGTTTTCCGGAGTAACTGTATCATTTTATATTCCCATCAGCAGTGTATAAAGTGATCTAGTTTCTCCAAACACTAGCCAGTGTATGGTTTTATCACTTTTTAATTTTAGCCATTCTGATAGGTATACAGTGATGTCTCATTGTAGTTTTAATTTGCATTTTCTGATGACTAATAATGTTGAGCATCTTTTTATGTGCTTATTTACACATAATGTATATATCCTTTTTGGTAAAATGTCTTGCATGTGTCATACAATTTCTAGTTGGATTGCTTGTTTTTTAATGTTGAATTTTGAGAGTTTTTGAAAAATACATTTTAGATACTAGTTCTTTATTGGATATGGATTTGCAAATATTTTCTCCTAGTTTTTAATTTAATTTGTATGCTCTTAACAAAGTCTTTCACAGAGCAGCAGGTTTCAATTTTGATGAGGTCTGATTTATCAGGTTTTCTTTTTTTGGATTGTGCTTTTGGTGTCAACTTGAGGAACTCTATGTTTAATAGTTCTAGGTCCTGAATATTTTCTGCTATTATTTTTTTTTAAGATTTTTATGGTTTAATGTTTTACCTTGAGTCAGTTGTTGCAAAAAGTAT